TGAGTGAGAGAAGGGCAGGGAGAGAGAGGGAGACACAGAATCTGAAGCAGGCTCCAGGCTCTGAGCTGCCATCACAGAGTGTTAAGCAGGGCCTGAACTCATGAACCATGAGATCATGACCCAAACAGAGGTCTGATGCTTAACTGACTGAGTCACCAAGGTGCCCTACAAATACAAAATACTTCAATCAAAGGGATTAATTCTATTGCCCAGTAAGTAATAATACTTTTGACACAGTACATTAAATTATTTTAAAATATTAAAAAGTGGGCAATACTTCTAACAAATAATTAGGAGTTTTTAGACTTAGGGGAAATGAGATAGCTGCAAATTCTCATACTAGAGTAAAAGATGCTTGACAGTATATGTGCTAGATGTCAAACTCTGGAATTTAAACAATAAACATTTGAGCAATGCAGACAATATATAATAAGAAATCATATTTGTAAAAATTTTTAGAACTGATATTACATGTAATAAAAATGAATAAAATTAATGATAAAATAGGGTTAATGCAATGTTGAGAAAAATGTGAGAAGACACTTAAATAATATTAAGAATAAACAGTATAAACTAAACTAACCAAAAATATTGAATGAGTGTTGAATTTTATTGAATACGTTTTCTGATTTATATGCTTCTTCTATATATTTTCTCTTTAAAAGTTGTCTATCATACAGACAATTAACAACCTTGATATAAGGGACATATAGGTAAATTACTCCCAGCAGCTAAAGAACGTGTGTTAGTATATGTATAGATATTCAACCATCTTTGCATTTCTGGAATAAAGCCTTCTTGGTTTTGGTGTATTTTTTATACATCAATTCTGGATTGAGTTCACTATTTTATTTTGCTAGTTTTTCATTTATGTTCATAAGTAAGATTGACATGTGATTTTCTTATATAATCATGGTCCATGTTTGGTGTTAAGATTATTTTATTTTTAAATATTTTTTTGATGTTTATTTATTTTTGAGAGCAAGAGCAAGAGAGAGCATGAGCAGGGGAGGAGCAGAGAGAGAGGGTGACACAGAATCTGAAGCAGGTTCCAGGCTCTGAGCTCTCAGCACAGAGCCCAATGCAGGCCTCGAACATATGAACCCATGAGATCATAACCTGAGCTGAAGTTGGATGCTTAACCGACTGAGCCACCCAGGTACCATAATTTGGTGTTAAGTTTATACTAGCCTCATAAAATATGCAGGACATCCAGATTATTGCAGTAGATTAAGTTTATTTGTCCTCTCTTCTTTTAAACTCCACCAAAATAACATAAAGAATAAAACAGGAATACACCTACAAGGACAATGAGTCTAAGATTCGAGAGGGGTAACACAGGAGTCTTTGCTAAATTATTATTTATAAGATCTAAAGCAAATATAATAAAATGTTATGATATGACTAAGCTGGGTTGCAGGTACATGGGTGTCCATTGTCTTTTCTTTTTAATTTTTAGTAATGATGAAATATTTCTTGATGTTAAAAATAGACAAGTTAGTTTCAAATAGTTATATGTGCTCTAAAAGTGCTTCTCAAATTTTAATGTGCATATGAATAACCTAGGGAATTCTTATTGAAATGCAGATACTGAATCATTAGGTCTGGAGTGGGGCCTGAGATTCTGCATTTCTTGTAAGCTCCCAAGTGATGTCAATGCTGGTGGTCCATGGACCACCATTTGAGTAGTAAGATTTTAAGGGAAATAAAACAAGGCAATGTGATAGAGAGTGGCAGGGACAGTAAGTAGCTTCTTTAGATAAGGTACTCTTGAAAAACTTTTCTAAATAGTGATATTTGAGTCATTAAAATGTCTCTATGAATGATATTCCAAGTAAAGAGCAAGTGCAAAGGCACTCAAGTGGGAATATGTTCTGGCATTTTCTAGAAACAGAAAAGGCCACTGTGGCCTTTTTAAAGTAGTTAAGTGTTTCTTCCACATTTCAGGTGTAATTAGGTGAAAATATCACTGTATTTGGAGCCATAAAACTTAGGTCTGGTCTTCATCCCATTAGCTCTGTGACCTCTGTCAAGCCACAACCTGTTTCCTCGTGAATATTGATGAATAATACCTATTCTCCAGTGTCAATGTGAGGATGAAATAAGGCAAGGTATTAAAAAGCACTTTGTAAATTGCAAAATACTATACACATATAATTATTGCATAAACAAAGTGCTATCATGTGATCCGAGTCTATACAGCTCTAAACTACACAACACTACAGCTATATGTAGTGGCTTTTATTGTGTGCTATGTCTCTTTAATTATTTCAGACACTTATGTGTCAGGTTGCTGTAGGCTAAGTTGGTCTGTCTGTTGCTGCAGTTCTCTGCCAGTGCACAACTCTCACTATGCTTCATGTTCTATTTTTAAGTGCATTGGAAATTTTCTTTGACTCTTTTGGCTGTTTGACCCACTTTAGCTCATAATAGAGTAACTACTTGGATATTCCAATGCGATTCACATTTCTTTTTCTTTTCTTTTCTTTTCTTTTTTAAAGAGTTGCCCGTGATGTGTCATCCCCATGAGTATTACTTTTTTTTTTTTTTTTTTTTTGAGAAAGAGACAGAATGTGAGCAGGGGAGGGGCAGAAAGAGAGAGGGAGACACAGAATCTGAAGCAGGCTCCAGGCTCTGAGCTGTCAGCACAGAGTCCAATGCAGGGCTCGAACCCACAAACCGTGAGATCATGACCTGAGCCAAAGTCGGATGCTTAACTGACTGAGCCACCCAGGCGCACCTGTTTTGTGATTCACATTTCTTAATCAGAAGAGTTGACTTACAATGAACAACCACTACTTCAGTAAAAATAAGTTGACACCATTCGAAGACTGCACAACTATTGTTCCGTGCCAATAATGCCTTTAGATGATTCTAATGATACTTCTCAAGAATCCTGAGAAATCATCTATAGGGTCAGGTGTTTTAGAATTCTGAGGTGTTTCCTAATTTAAAATCTTTTGATTGTATATGGACACTGGAGACTTTTAATTAAATCTTATCTTTGAGTATAGGCAGCATCTTTAATTCCATGAGCAATGGAATAGCAGCTAGACTACCTCTGTTCTAGTATAACTCTAAAACCACAAGGTCCTGGTCTTCTTTATCTACTAGGAACAAGGAATACCCGCAAAAGCTATTGTTAAGATCCAGCAAAATAATGTGTGTTTCTGAAAGTATAAAAATTCAAAATATTATTTTGTCACATGATATCTAACAATCTCTCACAAAATATATGGTACATAGATTCCTATATTTTTTTAAAAAATTAGAGCATTATTGGACAACGCTTTACCTGGGTAGAAAGATTCAGTGGCAATATTCAGCCCTAATAGAAATTGCTGAAAGAGTCTAGGGTTTATCTAGTGTAGAGTGTTGCTCTCTAACCCAGAATCTATGCTGAATAAATATTTACTGATTTTGACATAGGCATTAATAAAAGAGACCATTACTCTTCTGTCAACAAGAAAAGAATAAGCCAGAAACATACAATTAGTAAGTCCTGTCAATGCTATCTCATAATATCTCTGGAATTGATCTATTGCCACTGTTACTGCCATGTTCAGGCCTTTATTTTATAACTGAACTAACTATTGCCTTAGCTTCATTACTCCAATCTGAACTACTTTCAGTCCAATCTTTCCATTTAAGCCAGAATGGTATAATATATGTACAAATCTGATCTTGTTACTCTCTGATTAAAACCCTCCACTGGGTATAGTATCAAGCATTAACTTCTTAGACTGAAATATGAGGTCCTTCCCCATCAGGCCTCTCTTATCCAAGCTCTTCTCCTACTACTCTGCCATATGATCCCTAGAATCTTGAACATGGAAATGTTTTCTTATACCTCCTTGCTTTCATACATGCCATTTCTTTTACATGGAACTCCGTTGAGCCTCTTCAGTTGGAAAGTTTATTCTTTAAATAATTCTGCTCAAGCATCCTTTTCTCTGGAAACCTGAGTGTAGCATGAATCTTGAAACAAAGTAACTGCATGGGTCATGCATTTCTTTTGTCTTCATCAGACTTATCGGGTTAGTCCATCGTGCCTCTATATAAGGAGTTCATAATTATTTACCTGTCTTGAGTAAAAACTTTGAGAATGCAGTAATGAATATAAAATTGCAACTGCTTCACTGTCTACAGGGTATTAGGCAATGCTGACACTCGGAAATGAAAATTTTCCAGAAAACTGTAACATATTTATTTCGATATCATATTATTTGATGATAGTGGGGAAAAAAGAATATAAACCTGCCTTTAAACGTGGACTTTTTCCTCCATACATTTTCACTTTACCAGCCATTAGCCAATCTAGCTGTTTTGCAATCATTAGGGATGCTGCAGAAGCCAAAAGGAAAAGCTAGACAGCGATGCACATTAGCAGAGTAAAGACGTGTGTGTGTGTGTGTGTGTGTGTGTGTCCCAAGAGCGAAAGATCAAAGGAAAATTGCCCCAAACACTGCAAGAAAGTGAACAATAAACCCGAAACCCAGTGAATCTCAAGGTTCATTAAGTCTTCACCCCGGGGGAAATTAGTATCTGTAGTTTACCCTAAGCTTTAGTGCACAGGAGAGTGAAGACAAAAATACACAGAGGGAAAGCGGAGTGAGGCGTTGCGCTGAGTTGGAGGCTGTAAGAGAAAAGTGGAATGACTGGACCAGATAGGGGTTGGCAGATTTAGCAAATGCAGTATTTGAGACATACTAAAAAATAACTCGTTTATCACAAAATCAAATTTAATTGAGCATCCTGTATTTTATGTGGCAAATCTAAGAAAAGAGAGAAAGACGTTATTCTACATTTCTCGGTTGTGTAAAACACTCAAAGGCCCCTAGAAAATACAGCGGTTAAGCCCAAGTATCTGACTTCTCAGAGAGAGGCTATTTCCGGTCTCGGACACTGAAAAGATGAGGGGGAGGGGAGAGACGAGGAGTGGAGGAGTAGAGGAGTGAAGTCCGCCAGCGTCCCACAATCCTCTTCTCTAGGTTCCTCTTCCCTCGCTCAAGATGGCGCTTCTCCTGATACCTTCTTCACGCTGGGCAGCCGCAGCGACTGCTTTTGAAAAGCGTCGCCACGTTGCGATTCGGATCCGGCCTCTAGTCTCTGTCGGTGGTGCAGGTCCTCAACGGAGATCACGTCAGCTCGGCGCCTCGGGAGCTGCTCTAATTTCCCAGGTGAGGTGCCATTCACGTGGAAGAGTAGGGTGAAGGACAAAGAGACCTATAGAAAAGTTTGCCCTCACGCCTTCAGGTCAGAGAGAACACCGAGAAGAAAGGTTGTCAGGGCTAAACTCGGAACGTCAGTAAGTATAGGAAATTAGGGTTAGTAATTGGAGGAAGGGGTGAAGAAAACCTTTGTGGTACAGCACAGGGGAATGGGACGGAAGGTTCCAGGCAGAGGGCACCTGGAGCACTAGTTATTCTCAAAGGATTTACATGCCCCCTCCCCCTCCCTTTGGAGTCTAAGAGATTGAGTAGACGGGATCCCCAGGTTGATTACCTTTCCAAATGCAAGGAAAACTGGCTACTTTTCCAAAGTCAGTAATGGAATTTGGGACTAATATGGCTATGGTTCGGATTTTACTCACTTGGAAATAGCAGTTGGGGAGCATTGTAAAATGACAGCAGAACTACCTGTAAACAAGAGGCTAATTGAGTTGGCACCAGTTGACTCTGCTGACGGTGCTTCTTGATAGGCCAAAAACCATACCTATCTTTCTCTCCAAAACACAGACCGCCCTAAATTCGTATGTAAACACGATTGTCCTTTGATCTGAAAATAGTATTCTTCTGTGTACACAGGTCGCTTTGGAAGCCATAAGGCTACTTATCTTTAATTAATGAATGTAGTTTTTCTTATAGTGCCTCTTAATTTGTGTCCAGAATTCTCTCTTGGCAGTTTCGAAAAAAAAATTTATACTTGTACTTTGGTATATCTTTCTATTTTCTATATATTGACAAAAAGTTTAACTGCCACTACTTGTTCATCAGTATCACTGAAGGTTAGTTTTGAGAAGCATCGTCGTAAATGATTGATTCCATGTGAACAGATATTTAATGTCTACAATGTACGTAGCGCTATGCTAGATAATGAGGGTACCCAGAGAAACATACATAAATGCCTTTAAGACCAGTTTAGTTAACGAGTGTGTATCTATGCGTTACAAGAATACCTGAACAAGGTAGGTAGGTTAAATATCAAATGAATAGTATAAACAATAAGGGCAGTAACCATCTAGAGGAAATAGGGATAATTAAGGACCAGATTATAGAGAGGATTTCATGCTGGTGATAGAACTGAGGAGAACATTTTAAGGAGGAAGAATAGGGAATGACAGCCATGTGGAATGCTGGAGAAATTATATCCATTTGTTCATCCAGTGATTATTGAACACCTTTAAAGCACTGAACAGAATAAAATACAGGCCCTGTCCTTGAAGAGTTTAAAATTTAAGAAAGAAAAATGTAAGTAAACAGGCAGTTATAATACAGTAGTGCAATGATGAGAAGGATACAGTGTACTGAAAGAGTATAATTGAAGGGCATCAGGTCTAATTTTGAGGTGGGAAAAATGCCTTGAATAACTGATAACTAAGCCAAGACCTTAAAAATTAAGAGAAATTAGCTAAAGAGGGAAATGTGTGCAAAGGCCCACAGGTAAGAGAGAGCATGGACCTTTTGTAGAACTGCACGTAGTTTAGCCTACTGTGGAGTTCAGGATAGAAACAGCAGATCAGGCTAGAGAAGCAAATCCAGATCATTTTGTTAAAGGTTTTACAACACTTTATAATTGAAAGTTTGTAACACATGATCTTTTGGGAGCCTTTCTTGTTCTGTAGTCCTCTAATAAGCCTAATGAAGGTAAGATAAAATTTGTAGGACTTTGGCTGGCTGGGAGGATGAGGGGGAAGGAGAAGTTAGAGTTTCAGGGGAAGTGATGGAAATAATTAGCTTTCTCTCTTTTCATGAACACTGTCCCCACAACTTTCTTCTTCCACTGTCTTCTGTACATCCTACCATTCCCTTTGGTTACCATTTCCAAAGTGTAAAAAACAAGAAAAAGGTATTACTTTTGTTTTCTGCTTCTTAAAGGCATGCAACTCTTGCCATAATTTTTTAAAAAATGTAGATTTAACATGGAGATTAAGGAATGGTTATAAGACTGTTATACTTTTAGGACAATCATTAGTAAATAGCATAATATTTTAGAGCTGAAAGGAATTTTTGTGCAGTGTTATGAAACATGTTAATAGGTTGGATCAGCCCTTTTTTAATATGAAATTCAGTAGAATAAGAAAGAAAATGTCAGTGCTTTATACATATTAAGGGAAATATTGTTTTATATACTGTTTTATGTGTATATGTACATTGCCACATGTATGTGATTACTGGGATGCATTGTAAAATGTGTTTTTCACACAGGATTATTCACTGGATGTATGTCGTGCAGTATGATAGTCACCAGCTCCATGTGGCTGTTAAAATTTAAATTAAATTAAAAATTTAATTCCTTGGTTGTATTAGCCACATTCCAAGAGCTAAAAAGGCACGTATATATGGGACATTTCCATCATTGCAGGAAGTTCTGTCCGACAGTGCTGCTTTAGAGAAGATCATGTCCAGCCTTCTAATTTTGAAGATGAGTTAACTAAATCCTAGTATAGATAAATGACAGCCTTTAAGACCATTCATTCATTTATTTTCTTCTCTATGTCAGGTATTTATATAAAGGTAAATAAGACTGTTGTGGACATTAAGCAATAAATGTTGAATCATAAAGGTACTTATACTAGAGCTCTGTTAATAGAGGGAAACACCTTAAACATAAAAGTTTTTTATTAAAATTGTAAGTATGTTAAGATTTAAATTGTAATGATTTATTATACAGTTGCTTCTCTACTATATTAGTTAATATTAAAAAGACATGAGTTTTGGGGCGCCTGATGAGTACCTGAGTCAGTTGAGCATCTGACTCATTTTGGCCCAGGTCATGGTCTGAGGATTGTGGGATCGAGCCCAGCATTGGGCTCAGTCCTGAGCTCCCTCTGCCCCTCTCCCTCACTTGTGCTCTCCCTTTCTCTCCCCTTAAAAAAAAAAAAAAAAAAAAAAAAAGACATGAATTTTGAGTGATAGAATTTTTTTCATCAATATTTATATGGTATGAGGTATCATACAGTTGGTCCACAACACTTTTTATCTAAGTTTAAAGAATTAATTCTTGATCCTGACCCTGATTGTATACTTTTCTTCATTTGTTTCTTAAAAAATATCTTTTTTGAGATTTATCCACATAAGATATAATTCACCTATTTAAAGTGTGCAATTCAGTGGTTTTTATTTTTTTATTTTTTAAGCTCAATCAGCACACTTATAATTAACAATGATTAATTTAATTCACTTTTTTTAAATTTTAGAGTGCAAATAGGGGAGAGGGGCAGAGGGAGAGAGAGAATCTTAAGCAGGCTCCAACTATTTGCTATTCTTAATGAGCTCTAGTTGCTTTTCTTGAGTAAATGTTACTTCATTTGCTACATGACCCCAGGCCCATTTCTAGGGACTATAAATGGCTGTCCTTTTTAAATTTTTACCAGTTTTTCTGGGGAGTGGGTCTAAGGAGATCCTTATGTTGTCATGCCAGAAGTGGAATTCTCTTCATTTGTTTTTGACCAGCTCATGTCCGTTGGCTTACTATATGCACCAAAGTGGTCTGTCCTTTGTCTTTGGTTTATAGAAGATATTCACATTTAGGTCTGGCACACCTTTTATTTTAGTGTATTCTTGTATGCTCTATTTAGTAGTTCTTTTGGACAGGTACTGTTTTGGTTTCATTTGCTGGTTCACATTTCATTTGTTTATATCATGGGAAAAGGATGAGAACTTTAATATCTCCCTGTAGTGAATTCCCCCTTCCTGCACTCCCACTGCCGACTGGCTGCTGCTAAGAGACTTTATTTCTGGCCTTGATATTAACTAAAGTGGAATATAATAACACTAATGAAATAATTCTACTTTGCTTTTTAGAGATCCTGGTTTTAAGATACAGGTTTTACATTATAAGATGCATATCAAGAGATGGCAGTGATTACTGAGAAGATATGAAATGTAGTAAGAAAATTAAAAACAGCAGGAAAAAGTTAAGGGTGTTTTTTTTTTTTAAGTTAAGGGTGTTTTAAAGTGGATTTGGCATGGAAGTTAAGAGGGTGAGAGGTGATTCAGTGATATTTAAAGTACCTGAAGGATAATTTTTTTTTAATTAAAAAGCTATCTTTCTAATAGTTCAGTAATACCTGAACTTATCTGGATCATTAGTTCATTTGAGACATAGACTTCAGTTGCAGGAAGAGGGATTTAATGTGCACATAAAAATAATTTCTTAAATCAGTAATCTTTTTATTGGGAGAGCAAGAAAGACTTTTTAAAAGACCTAAGAGGCAGAACAAATAACCATTAATTTTAATTTAAATACATATCTTCTTAAAGATAGAACAGATTTAGATTTATATCATTCAGCATCACAACTCACTTTAAAAGGGGTGATTTGGCAGAAAGAACATTGGTAAATGAACAGTTAGAAAAGTTGGATTGTTGTCTTGGCTTTGATGTTAGGAGACAATTGAACAATCATTAAATAGTAATTTGCAATCATTAGGCAAATATACGTTATGAAAAAGCAGTAGCTTGGTTTTGAGAAGAGCAGGACATATCAAACCAATTCAGTTCTTCATATGAGAGAATGACAGGATACTTACTTAGAAGTGTAGTCTATCTTGATTTTAATCTTTCAAATCTTGTACCCTGTATCATTCTCACCCAACAAGCCAGGAAGGAATGGTATTGCAAACTGTGAAGGGGTCTTGAAGCAGTAGTGTAGTAGTAAGTAAATCTTACTAGAGAAAATACAGATAATTAGAAGGATTTTGATTTATAAATATTAAAGAGGATAAACAACTGGTGTACAAAGGACATAGCATGGTGTAATGGAATGAATATTGTCACTACGACATCTGACTACCTTAGCTCTATTTCTACTCTTAATTATCTTCGACAGATTACTTAGCCCTTTGGACTTTAGTTTCTGTAAAGATTCAACTACTTGATCTCTAAAGTTTCTTCTTATTCTGTAGTTTCCTAACTCTGATCTGCGGGGACTTTGTATAATAGAATTTCTACTTTGT